GAGAGGAGGGCGGGGGAGGAAAGGTGAGGGGAGGGGTTGGGGCAGAGCAGCATGGGAGGCGGCCCCGGGCGCCAACTTTCAAAAGCGGGCGCGATGGCGTCACGGAACGCGCCGCAAGTCACGTCACGCCGCACGCGCCCTCCCGCGCTCTCGCCCGGTCGCGCGTGGGCTCTGCGGGCGCCGGGAAGTCCGGGTTCCCGCTGGGTGTGGCTTCCTGGGCGGAGAACCCCGCCTCTGGGCGGTCCAGGATCTCGGGTCCGCTTAACCTCGTTCCCTAGCCGCAGTCTCCCACCATGAACAAGTAAAGTGGGTGGAAGGTGTTTGGAGTAAGCCCGCGAGGGGCTAGGTGGTGGGGCTGAAGAGGCTCTTAGACCAGGCCCCGCCCTAGTCTCCGCCCTAATTCTAGTCCCACCCGCCCTCCGAGCGCCGCACCGCAGCCCGCCACCGAGAAAGGCCTTACTGGTCCCGCGCATTCTCATCTCAGAAACAACCCTGCACCCGCGAGTGACAGCGAGAAGAGCTGTCTTTGCCCAGCAGGTTTTGGGCATCTCTCCGCCGTATAAGAGGGCTACTTCTTGGTGTGCCCAGGCCACCTCAGCCCTGAGAGGCCAGCGGAGGACCAGACTTGATGCTTTTACACGGCCATAGCAGTCGTCTTTTGCCAAAAGGACTTTCTGTATTTGGCGCGCTGTAATTCTGTATTTTAAAACGTGCACTTGTCATTGCTCTGAGAGCTGTTAAATTCTCTGTGGGCGGAGTGCTTCAGCCCCTCACAGTACGGTCGCCCCTCTCCCTCCCCAGGGTGCAGCTGCGGACTCTGCCCAACCAGCGATAAAGTTGACCGAGGACTGACTGGATGTTCTGGAGGCTCCAGGAGGCGAGCCTTTGGTACTTTTGGGAATCTGACTCAGGATTGTATTCTCAACTCCCTTAGATATCACGGATAACAAACGGACCCAGCGTCAAGAGGACAGTTTCAACTCCATTTGTTCCATTATGACAATGCCGCCCCGATATTGACAGGTCTGGTTTTCTTGAAAAAGGTAATCAGAAACCTGGAGTTTTTAAATGTAAAATCTCCAGCTATTTAGTTGTTGGCAACTAAATCAGATCTTTAAATTGTGCATGAGCTGATTAAAGCACACTCGTGGGCTGGCAGTTTATGACCTGATTTGGAGGAAAGAGAGAAGTTCCAATGCCAAATACTAGGCACTCCAACATTTAGCGATAAGGTAATGGAGAAGGAGACTGAAAGGAGGAGCCAGGAAGGCAGAAAGAAATCCACAGTGTTGAGTTGTGAAGTCTAAGTGCAGAGAAGGTTTCAGATAGGATGGAAGTGATCAACTGTGTCTAGTGCTGTTGAAAAGTATACTCGGGCCAGAGACAGTTTGGATTGGTCACCTTGGATGTCACTGGAGAATATCATTTGTATTCTTGGCTTGATTCGTGTTGGTAAATTAGAAATGTGGACATGACTAGAATGAGTCGAAGAGTGAATGGGAAAGTGAGGAAGTAGAAACAGCACACTTTGCTGTGAAGGGAGCAGAGAAATTTAGGGATAACTGTAGAAGGATATGGAGTCAAGAGGAGATTTTTTCAAAAGATGGTAGGGTTTTAGAGCAAGTTTATATACCATTGGGAGTGATACAGGAGAAAGAAGGCTTACTTGACCTATTTAGTTTTGAAATCCAAGACTCCGGCATAAAGAAAAGGCAAACTTGGAGGAAAATTACCAAATAGATACCTCTGGAATATTTGCATTTTGCATTTTCCTCAGCCCTCTACAGCAAACAGCTCCTGGTAGCCTTAGGAACTGTACTAGAAACAACAAAGCCGACTTGCACTTAAATTGTTAGCTTTTTTTCTTTCTAGAACTTTTAATAATCTGAGTAATTCACTTTCTCTACCATTTTAGCTCAAATCATCTTTAAGAGTAAGGTAGAACATCTTCTAAGGCTTTATTGTGAACAAATATAAAGCAATATATTTAGATGGGGAAAATCCTCAACTATATTTACAATTATATTTATAACTGCTATGGTCAGAATATTTATATTCCTCCAAAGTTCATATGTTGAAATCCTAATGCCAGATGTGATGGTACTAGTAGCAGAAGACTTTGGGAGGTGCTTAAGTCATGAGGGTGGAATCCTCATAAATGTGATTAGTGCCTTTTAAAAGAAGATTCATAGAGATCCCTAGTCCCTTCTGCCATGTGAGGACAAAGCAAGAAGGCACTGGTTATGAACCAAGAAGAGGGCCTTCACCAGAATGTGACCATATTGGTGCCTTGACCTTGGTCTTCTCAGCATCCAGAACTGGGAGCAATAAATTTCTGCTGTTTATAAGACATCCAGTCAGTGTTTTTTTGTTATAGCAGTAGTATTTGTTATAGCAACTAAGACAATGACTGTATATTAGATCAACTATAGTTACGACTATTATGACCTCGAGTCATCAGAAGCCAGGAATGGGGTCCAAGTGGCCTTAGAGCCTGTTTTCTGAAGACAAAGATCCCATGTGCTGCTCTGACACAGGGCTGAGAAAATGCTGAGGATCACTAGGAAGGAAAAAAAGAAATGTTTTCTTTGCCTTGAAGAAAATTGTGGTGTCCTACTTCAAGGAATTAGTTCCAAAGACCAAGGAACAGAAAGCCAAACCAAAAGGATAGGATGTTTCAGGCTAGACAGAAACAAGCTGAGGGGGAAAAGTAATATGATGAGAGCCTGAGAAACGGGATGATAAAAATAAGAACAGGTTTGTTCCCTGCAGTACTATACTAGACTACCTCCCCAATGAGAACGTTTGTGATTTAAAACCACTCGGTAATTTAAGGAAGTGTTCTTCCCATGGACTGTCTCTTAGGTTTGTAGTCCACAAGAGTTCAGGGCATTATCAGCAGAAGGCTGTCAGCTTACCACATGGCATTGGTGAAGTCACCACATTCCAAGATCTGATCCTCAGTCTCACAGATAAGATCAGAAAAATAGTATGTATCCTGAGAGTAGATTCCTTCCTTAAGGACTTGTCAGGTTCACAGGAACTTGAATGGGTAAGCAGAGGGCTGTTTTACTAAGTGGCAAGTGGACCGGTGCTCTCATGCTGGCAAAAGACATGTTCTCTCCCTACTGGAGAGCCTTCTGGGAAGCCACATTACTAGAAAGCTTTGGTGAGCAGTTAATTAGATTAAGAGGTGTCAGTTATTTTCCTTAAATGTTTACTATCACCTCTCTCTGGATGCTGGAGTCAGACTGTCCAGCATTTGAGTTTTTTCTTGGCTCCCTATTAGCTATGTGATCTTGGGTGATTTAGTAACTCAACTGCAGGTTTCTACTCTATAAGACAGGATGATAATTGTACTTCACACAGTGGTAAGAATTAAATGAGAAAATACAAGTAAATCTTTTGGCATGGCCCTAGGTACCAGTAATCATACAATAAATATAAACTATTGTTATTCTTTTATTTTTATACTTCTTGTTACATACTCTCACTCTCAAATCTACCTTCTGATAGACATGATCTAGATTCATTAATAGAATCGGTTACTGACTCGGCTTTTCTTACTTGGGAGCCATTCTTTCTGGGAGAGTTGTACTTTGCACTGTTATTTTCAGGAGAACAATTCTATTTCCAAGATCTTCCTTGCCTCCCACGTGTTGCCCCATGAGGCTTGCAATAATCATGATCATTTATATGGATTTTTTTTTGTTGGGGTTTTGTTTTTTTTTTTTTTTTGAGCTCTTTAAGCAAGAGAATAAACAAATGGAGAGATGTGTCAATTTTCTAAGTAACAGTGGGCAAGAATCTTCCTGCCCACTTTGGTGATAAGACCTGAAGTTACACTTGAACACTCCTGTTGCCTCTATCTATTGGGGACATGTGTGAGATATAATCCAATTCAGCAAACATTTTTTGAGTACCGTTTGTGTTTGACTCTCTGTTCTAGGCACTGGGGATACAAAGACGACCCAAGATGTGTTTCCTGCCCTTGAACTCAAAGTTTAACTGGTCAGACTTGTTAGAAAACAACAACAGAAAATTAACACCCAAATTGTTATAATGGGAAGAAATGGACTCATACATAAAGGAGCAAATCATCTGCAGGAGTATCCTGTTTATTTGGGTATTAACAAGCAAGGCGAAGGCATGTAAGGTGAAGAGTCATAATCAAGGGCATAAAAGGGCACAAAAGTATTAGGGGGACAGTAAATCATCTCATACCGTTGGACTAGAGTGTAGAGTAGTGATGCTAAACCTTATAAGACATTGGGAAAGCTTTCAGTGTCAACTGCCAAGGCCAACCACTTTCTCCTAACTTTTTGAAGACCTGCCCTTCTACATCATCTCCTACTCAGACCATAGGAATTTTTTTCCTTATTGATGTATACTTTCTTTAGACCCCTGTAAAAGCCATATTAATTTTTTACCTCTCAGCTCAAATTACTGCCTTCAAAAGTCTAAAGTACTTTGCCTAGATCTATATCCCATTTGGGGAAGTGAGTTAATTTTATTGTCTGTACTCTTATCTGCATTTTTCAGACACGCATTGTTCAGCCTTTAATAATCCATCTCATTTTGCAAAACAGTTTTTCATATTTGCCCTTTTAATTGATGTTCACGGCTTTATTTGAAGAGCTAGGCACAGTTTTTTCCCAAACTCAAGAAATGAATACTTACTCAGAGTTGTCCAATAACTTTTTGGCAAAACCAGAAAGAGTGCTCAGATCTTCCAGCCACACCCTCTCCCCTCTCTTGTCCTCTTCTTTCATTGGCTGCTCAGAGGTTCTCACTCTGCCGGATACATTTCCATTTTCCTAGCAATCCTCTGAAGATGATTCTTTACCTCAGGGCTGCTTTGGAAGGGGAAGGGAAGGGAGGTCTATCAGGCAGGCTCTGGGCCTTTCTGCTTCCCCATTTCCCCCCACTTTTCCAAATTGTGATTTTTTTTTTTTTCAGGGAGAAAAATGGTTTCTGCCCCTAAAACAAGTTTGACACTACTGCCTTAACCTAAAGGAAGGGCTTTAATGATGGAAATTTCAGGCACTTGGAAGGCAGATAGCAGAGACATTTGGAGTGATGACTTAATCTACAAATATGTCCTGAAAAATTGCTGAAGACCCAGGTCTATGATTGAGGCTAGGTAATAATGGAGATAAATGATGACCCTAGTCCTCAAGTGCCTTATATTTTTTTTCTTATATTAGTCTGGGGAGGCCAGACTATACTTCATGAGTCAAGGATGGAGAGATACATAAAAGGTATGGGCTGCAGGTGTAGGAGGAACAGATTGCTCACTGGACTCAGTCATATGAGTCTTTTCACGTAAAGAAAGGATGACTCCCAAGTTCCTGCCTCTAGCTTACAGCTTTCTCTTCTTGCCCCAGATCTTCATATCCAGCTTCTTTCTGGATACTCCCTCCTGGATTCCTCCCAGGCCACCCTTATGAGCCTTGTCACTTTCCTTCTTACCTGCTTCTCGAGGGCTCCCCATTTCGATGAAAGATACCACCATCTATCTATTGCCCAGGCCAGAAACCTGGGCTTCATTCTCTCATCTTCAACATCCTATCAATCACCAAATTCTGTCTAGTCTGCCTTCAGAACATCTCTTCACTCTAATCTCCTCTCCATCCCCACTGCATCTACCCTGGCCCAGGCCCCTATCATTTCTTCTGATCACAGCTTTAGACTCATCACTGCTTCTTGCTTCCTCCCTCCATAGAACTGCCTGAGTGACCTTTCCAAAGCACAGATGTGATCACCAAATTCCCCTGCTTCAAGCCCAAGGATACCTACCCAGTTCCCTGGGGGTAAATTCCAAACTCCTCAGCTACTGCAGAAGGCCTATGTGACCAAGCCCCTGATCACCTCCTCCACCTTGTTTTTCTAACTGCTCCCTGTGGCCCCTGTAGATTCAACTTGCTTACCTCCACCAGTCTGACAGTTCTCCCCTGTATGGTTCCCTGCTCAGGCTCCTGTTCCATTCCTTAATAGGGATCTTGGTGGTAAAAGTGTGTTCTAAAAATCTGTGCTTCTTGGGGGACTGTGGGGAATGTTTTGAGTGTCCATGCTTTTTCTGCATTGGACATAACTGTGCTTTCATACTTTAAATGTTTTCAGGTCGTTTGAGGTAAGACCAAGACATAACTTAGGGAGTTGGATATAGGGAGCCGAGAACTAGACACAAGTTCTAGAGGTATTCATCAAAAGCCAATCTTGATCACCTACTCTGTATTTGGCATTGGTTGCTGGGGATGATAAAGGCAGATGCAACCTGATTAAACAGAGAATTGCCGGGAATACATGTTAAAAATACAGATTCCCTGGCCCCACTCCAAACCTCTGAATTTGAACCTCCAGGGCAGTTCTCAGGTGAATCTTAGAACTGGGTAAGTTGGAAAGACCTAACCTGATTTCATTTATAAGAAATATCAAAAATAGGCAAATCTATAGAGACAATAGATTAGTGGTTACCTCAGGGTGGGGGTGGGGCCGGGTGATATGAAGGCCCAGGGCTGATAGCTAAGGGGTGCTGTTTCTTTTGGGGTCGATGAAAATTCTCTCAAATTGATTGTGGTGTGACTGTACAACTCTGTCAATATACTAAAAGCCATTGAACTGTGTACTTTAAATGGTTGAACTGCATGGTATGTGGACTAAATTTCAATAAAGCTGTTTAAAAACAAGTGAAACAAAAATAACTTGGACCAAACTCCTTAAGACACCAGTCTTTTTCCCCAGACTTGGGTGGTGTCTGTTAATTAGTAGAATAGTCAGCAAATACTTATAGATGTACACATTGGAGGGTACAAAGTAAATGAGCAATTGCAATGGGGTGTAATTAGTATTATACTAGGGGAAGTGAAGGCTCCTGTGACAGGAGTTTCGTGGTGAAGCAGTTTCCTGTAAAAGTCTGAGATGTCTAGGTTGAAGCCTGTCAGAAGAGGCATTAGCAAGGCAAGATGAGAGGTGAGAAGAGGGTACTAGGATGGGGCAAGCAAGCCCTGCAAGCAGCTCAGTGAAGCTCCAAAGCAAAGTACGAAGTTAGGGGGCAGAAGAGAGGCTGGAGAGGGGAACAGACTCAAAGGGTTTTGTGAGCCATGTTTGAGGGGGTCTAGAATTTACCCTAACAGAGAGCTTGTATTGGTGAATTTATGTTTTAGGAATCACTCTGACTGAACCGTGGAGAATGGATGGAAGAGAGGCAAGACTAGGGGCAGGGAGCCTGTGAAGGGGCAGTTTTTGTGTCTAGGTGAGAGGTAAATGTGTCCTGAACCTGAGTGGCATCAATGGGGATAAAGAGAAGTGGACAGAATTTAGAAGTATTTAGGGCATTTAATTAAGAGGATTCTGATAGCTGAGTTGAAGGGACAGAGGAAAAAGTCAAGGATGAGGTTAAGTGGCTTTGGGTACCTGGGTAGTTGGCAATCCCAAGGACCCTGGAGGAGGAACAGATTTTGAGATGTTGAGTTTGATTTTGAGCATGCTGTTCCAAAAGAGGTGTCCAGTCAGTCAGCAGTTGGGCTTGGGGGCCTGGAGGTGAGCAGAGTATTGTGTAAATCACTGGCATACAGCCTCAGCATATAGGTGGAAGCCATAGGAATGAATAAGGTGGTTCAGGGAGTGTGTTTCAAGAGTGAGGAGAAAAGAGCCTAGAATGGAATCTTAGCAGTGATGTTTGTAAAAGGATGCTTGAAGAGGAGGTGGAATAGAACGTTGTAAGGAGATTCAGAGGAAATAGCTGGAAACGTAGGTGTTAGGCATAGCAATTTGTCTGCTTATTCAGCTTCTATAAGTCAACACTTTTTGTGGGTCCATATGCCCTGGGTATATTCAGAGACAAGTGACACTTGACCATTGACATCAAACTCAAACTGTGGCCATCACCCCACTGCAACCTTCTGAAACAAGCTGATGATAGTCTTATTTCCTAAATGATAGATTGCTCTTCCTTAGCAGTTTGTATAGGCGCTGGAATCCTTCCCAAGCTCACCCTCCTGGATTACCCGGACCCAGAAGAGCCAGGTCTAGCAGTTAAGCTTTCTGTCCACGGGAGATGGATGGCCTGAATAAGACATTCCAGGGCTATCTGGAGGGCGTAGGGTATGGAGGGAAAGGAGGGAACATGTCATATACTTAAGGTTCAGCAAATTGTACCCACACCCCAGGCACACAAACACACAAGAAAAGCACCCCCGCTCTGTGGGCGAGACAAAGAAGCAGCCCTCCCATGTGCCAACCCATCTGCTTCTTTGCCTTTACAAACATGCCTTTTTTTTCTTTCTTCTTTTTTTGGTTCTCTACAGCTTTGAATACATGAGGAAGAAGAGTGAGAGACAGGAGGAAAGGTAAGGTTGAAAGAGGGCAAGAGGAAAGGGAGTAAGGGGAGCCTTCAATGACCACCCACACAATAAATCAGATCCTGGACTACCACAGCCTGGTCCGTTTTTTGCAGTCTGCGCTTATCAGTTTCCTTCTGGGAAGAGCCCCAAAGATGATGGCCAAGGCATGGGTGTGGTGTTGATGGACTTGATTGATAGGGTGCTCCTCAGGGTGTCAGAGGCTTTGAAGGCCCACTTCCTTCTGTCCCCTCACAGAAGCTTACACAGGTTATGCAGGACAGCTGGGTACAGGCTTTCCCTGACTGGTTGCCTTTGACTCCTGATGGTATCATCACCTGGAGAAACAGGCTCCTTAGGAATGAGTGCCTCCTTGAACCTGTGTGATGGCAGGGTAGGAAGTGGGGAGGAGTGCTGGGAGCAACTTTGCCCTGTGGGAAGACTTGTGGGAGGCACCTGTGAGGCTGTGCATGTGTTGGGGGAGGGGAGAGTGTACAAGAGGGAAGACAAGGACTCTCCCTGTCCTTTACCATCTCACAGAGCTGGGCATGGGCCTGAGTATAGGAAGCCATCTACCCTGACTTCAAGTCACTGATGGAGAGGGGTTGAGTGGCCATTTAGTAGTTGATCCACACTGTTCTGAGCTAGGTAGACTTGATGTGGCAAAAGATTAAGGCTCTTTGTCTTGGCCTTGACAGACCTGTACCTGGCTGTGCTCACAGTGCCCACCCTAACCCTCACACCCACCCTTGCCTAGGGCTCAATACTAGGCTGTGGCCCCAGGACCTTACTTATAGAAGACAGAAAGTTGGGGGCCCTATCCCTTCCAGCATTGGAGAATAGGAACGTAGGGCCACTCACATTTTCATGGACAGTCCTAGCTGACCCCTAACTAGGATGATATTTTTCCATCCTACATTTCTTGCCCAGGCCATCCTCTCCTGTAGATTGAGCTGTGAGCTCGTGCTGGCCCAGTCACCCCTGTCTGCACTTCCCCAGGACCTGGTCAGCCAGTGTTTACTTCCTTTTTTCTCCACCACATAAGTTACTCTTTGGATGCAAGTGGACAGTCCTGTCCTACCAGTGGGCCTCTTGTGGGGCCCCAAGGGCTCCTAGGGCTGGTTCTGGGACTGGAACCCTCCTATAGGGACTCTTGAGGCAGGCCCAAGCTGCGGCCAGCTTTGCGTGCTGGCTGGGTCTCTACACTTGTTTTCTTTCTCCACCCTCTGCTGCCCCAGCCTACTACCCAAAAAGCTGAAAAGCTGAACTGCACACCATGTCTCCCTTTACACCCTTCAGTTACAGAGGGAACACAAAACTGTGCCAACATGCTGAGGGCTGTCTGCCCGCCCCACCCCCACCTTTCTGGAATAAGCCACCTGCATCCACACACAGGTGTTTCCTGTGCTCTTTCCTGTTGCCGTTTTTTTGTTGTTTTCTTTTTTCTTCTGCTCGGCATGGCTTCCCCAGCAGGTGGTTAAGGGCCCAGCCAAACCTCTTCATACATAGCTCTAAAACACTGGGGGGCAGGGCTCCCTGGGGATCTGGGTCACCCCACTCCCAGGGGGGCCTGTTGGTACCTCATTGGTTCTTCCTGAGTGCAGGCATACACACTTGGCTGTGTTACCACCACAGGAACTGGGACACCACATGTGGGCTCCGAGTGGGGAAGGCCTTGCCTATGTCCTTCTCCCTTGTCCCTGGATAATGAAGCTCTGGAGGGAGAGGGCAAGGGTAGAGGGCCTGTTTCTCCCTGGGTGTGGGCCTCCCTCAGGCCCTCCTTAGAATAGGCCTGCCATCCTGATATCCACCCCACCTCAAGTTCCTCCTATAAAACTCTTAGCCTTCTAAGGTTAACACTCTCACATGTGGGACAGCTCTGGGGGGAGGTGAACCCTCTCCCTGGAGCCTGCTTCCCAAAGCAGAACAGGATAGCTGTCAGTGGGGGGCTGCAGGGTTGTCAGGTTTGGTATTACAGAGAGATGGCTAGGAAAGAGGAGGAACGTGCTATTTAGGGTCACAGGGCAACCATCCGGGTCTCCTGTCTGTGCCTCTCAGGCTCTTAGCTCTTCCCTTCTGCAAGGATCTCTCTTACTACCCAGCACTCAAGGCTCCCGGTGGACTCAGCCCCACTGGTAAGAAGCTGCCAAGACTGAGGGGGAAGACCTAAGAGCCTGGCATTCTGACAGAGTTCTCCTGCCCCCTAGTGGCCAGAAGCTCCAGCCACCACCACACCTCTTTTTTTTTTTTTCCTTCTGCTTCTTCCTCTTTCTCTCCTGGCAGCAGGGAGTTAGCTGCTAGGGAGCCATTCCCAGGACTGGCATCCTTTGAGCCTTCTCTTGGCCAACTATATGGTGTGGCTCCAGCCTGGGCCTCTAGCTTCCAGGCCCAGGGCAAGCCTGGCCTGCAGACTGAGCCACCTCAGCAACATCCCACCACCCTTTTCCTCTGCCCTCTTCTCCAAGCCCATTTCCAACCTCAGGGCTCTCTTTCACCTGGATTTTCAGGGCAAAAGCACATGCCATTGTCACAGTTGATGTGTAGACACACTAGTTTCAGGAAGGGCCACAGGGTGTTGGAGCCAGAGGGTCAGGAGTGCACCAGGCCAGGCCATGTAGGAAAGGCATTTTGCTTTTTTTATTTTCTGTAAAACTCTGTAAATAAAATACAAAACAAAGGGATGTGGTGGGGCAGAGGCAGGATGGCCAGGCCCGGGACACTGATTTGTGGCAAGTGTGCTGAGGCTGGGAGGCACTTAACTGCAGGCACTGACTCTACCAACCCCACGGGCAACAGAAGAATATATTAGATTTTAATTGATAGGAATCTGTAGGGGAGGGGTGTCTGGAGCCAGCCCTCACCCTCCCTGCCAGTGCCTGGTGAGCCCTGAAAGTGGGGGAGAAGGGGCACTGGGAATGGTGGGTAGGAAGTTTAGAATGCTGTGCTGGCCATGCTGCCAGGCCCGAAGATTCGGGGCAGGGCATCCAGTGACTCCTCTAGCCGTCGATGGGCAGACTGTCCCTCTTCTCCTGTAGTGGGTAAGGATAGGATCAGGAGTGGCCCTAGTCCCCCATGGCCCTCCCGCCCTTTATGCCATCTCACCCCTACTCCCATCAGCCAAAATGTCCCAGAACTCTACTTGACCCATATCTCCCATCTCCCAGCCTCACCACACTGTTGCAGGCTTTGCCGAGCAGCTTCCCTCACGACTTCTGTGTCCGTTTGGCACAAGTACACCAGGGGCTCAATGCCCTCAGGGGCCTATCAAAGGAAAAAGCATTGAGGTAGCCCGAGTGGAGCAGGTGGAAAAAGCTCAGGGCCCAGGGCTGGGGGAGCCAGGAGGTGAGAAAAAGGGTAAGTGGGTTGGCAGGTGTCACCTTGATGCAGCCCAGGGCAAGGCAGCCAGCCACTCTCATCTGCACATCCTCGTCCTCAAGTTGCTCCAGGAAGCACAGTAGGGCCTGGGTAAGGTTAGGAGGGCAGACTTAGCCAGACACTGGGAACTTGGGATCCTAGCCTTTGCCTTCAAGGGAGCCGTGCCCAACTCTCACCCTTTCCCGGAAAGCAGGGCCCAGTGACAGGCTCCGCAGCTGGGTGCTGACAGCAGCCATGACCTTGTTGTTGCCATGGACAAGCAGGGAGCTAAGGGCCCGAAGCCCATCCCTTCGCAGTCTCCCCTCAGGTGCTAATCTCAGAGCCTTGAGCACAACAGCCTGGTCATCTGAGTTCAGATTCCGCACCAGTAACACTGAAAGAAAGAAGGGCGGCTTGGAACAAGGTAGCAGGTCAAGGAGCTTCCTGGGTTGGGATCTCCTGTACACTCATGTCCTCATCCACACATTAAGACTCACTCAATAAGGTCAAGTCACTTTGTGATCAGGGCCACTGCCTTACCCTCCTCAGCAGTCTCAGTCACATAGGCATCCATAGAGGGGCTGTCCAAGGTTTCCATGTAACTCCAGAACTGGAAGACAGTGAGCTGTTCTCCAGGGCCTGGCTGGGGCCTCCTGGGCAACTTCTGCCCCAGGGCATCCTCCAAAAACTTGACACACACTGTGAAAGGCAGTGCCACAGGCCTCAAGGTTTGGATGAACCCAGGCCCTTAGAGGGAAGAGTGCTCTCACCCCAGGCTCAGGTCCAGGGGCTTCCTATCCAAACCCTACCCATCTGGATCCTCTTGCACCAAGGCACAAATCTTTGCTATTACCAGTGCTCAACTCAGCATGTCTGTGGGGGCAGACCTAGCTTTCCTTGAGGTCCCATTACTGTGGCTCTGAGGAAGGAAGGCGGGGGTGGGGCAGGTAGGCAGCCCACTCACCAGCCTCGGCTAAGCCTGGCTGGCGCAGGGAGAGACGGGCACCGTACTGATTGCAGAAGGTGAGGAGCACCCGTTCCACGGGGCAGATGAAGGGGCTGAGTCCCTCTGTGCACTGGTCCCAGAAGGTCAGGAAGCCGGGCTGAGAGGCCGAGAACTGCACCACTGTGAGGAGGGTACACGAAACCATCAGCAACAGAGCAGGCAGGTGGGCAGACAGATATAGATGGGGTAGGGCAAAGAAAGACACCCAGGGCAGATACCCAGCTAGAGCCCACAGGGCCTTTACCTTCCTGGGCAGAGGTAGCAGGGATTTCCCATCGCCTGCTAAGCTCGCATACTGCCTCGAGCACTCGAGCCTCCCGCAGCAGCCGCTCCAGGGCCCATGCCTCCTGACAGCGCAAGGGCCCAAATATGCCCAGTTTCTGGAGAACAGGGGTAGCCAAGTAGCTCGGACCTCAAGGTAGAGCTTGAGGAGGGTGGAGCCCAGATACTACAAGTCCAGCATGCATTAGGAGAGTTTGGGGGGAGCCAGAGTATGGGAGATGTTCCATTCAGTAAGAGCCAGATGCCAGGGGCCTGGGACTTAGCGTAAGAATGGAACTCAGGGGTTGTGGAGGGCTCCCTAGGGTAAGGGATCATAAGAAGAGGGTGGGAGGAATACCACTAGCCTCACCAGCAGGAGGCGGCTGCAGTGGTACAGATGCTGGACCAAGGCAGTGTCTAGAGCTGGACACTCTGTGCTGAGGGGGCGGGCAACGGGTGAGTCGAGGGTGTCCTCAGCCCCAGGCACCGGGCTGCTTGGGGGCCTGAGAGAAAAACGGGGTTGACCACCTGTAGCACACATCACCATCTGGTCACCAGTGTATTTTTATTAAGTTCCCCCCATCCCAGAAGAGATGAACAGATGATGCACTGACAACAGACAATGGGTAAGTTCACAGAAGACTTCCAAAAAGAGGAAGGGCTGGGACCAGCAGATAGGAGCAGGGGTCTCCAGAGTCCGTCTCCCCTATGCCACCTTCAGCTAGGACTGCTGGGACTTCTGGGGCTGCCAAAGCTGGGATGGACGGGAGTAGGGTTGCAAGTGGGATGGTCTACGCCATTGTGCATAGGGGTTGTGGCCCAAGGGGCGCAGGGCACAGGACTGTAAGCTGGGCAGCAGCAGAGGAAAGAGAGGCTGGGCATGACCCTCATCTGGGAATTGGCAAAGGCAGCTCTGGGACAGAGAGCTGAGGGGCCGGGCTCTCTGGGACTGCCAGGGTTGAGGCAAAAGGGGTTGTTGCTGGGGGGCCCAGGGTACATGGGGAGGCCATGAAAGGCCTCGTTCATCGGGTAGGTCCAAGGTGAGGTCAAGGGAGAGAGGGGGAGCTAGAGGCTCACCAGCTGCTGGAGACGGGCAAGGAAAGCAGACATTGCAGGAACGAGGAGGAGGAGGGTGGTCAGAAGCACTGGGGATGGAGATGGGGTTGGAAACATGGGCAACAAGGACACATGAGGAGCAAACGGGAGAGGTGAACACCGATGCACCCACCAGCAAATCTACCCCTCCTGTCCACTTTCAGTCTTGCTGCTCTCATGTTCCACCTGGTCCTACCTTACCTGTTACCCTTTCTCGCCTTACTCCTCCACCTGGCACTCTCTTCACTTCTTCCCCCTCACCTAGCCCAGCTCACCTGTCCCCAGGACCATCATTGTCTTCATCTTCATCCTCGTTGAGGAAGCTGAAACTTTCCAGGGCATGCTCCACAGTGATGCTAAGACTGGAGGCCCGGCTACGAGTCAGACCTTGTTTCTGCTGGGGTTGTGAAGGGAGTCAGAGGCACGGCCTGGCTGCCTTCCCTGTGCTGCCACAGCCCAGCCCAGCCATCCTTACCATAAGCAGACTCTCCAGCCGGGTCACCTCCTGCTCCAGGCCCTGCAGCTCAGGAAACTGGCCACGATAATCATCTAGGGCAGCCATTAGGGCCCCTAGTGCCTCTTCCAGTCTCCTGTCTCCAGCCCCTCCAGCTGCCCCTGCAACCGGGGCCTGGGCAGCCATGGCCAGGCTAAGGTCTGAATGCTGGGGCATACAGGTTAGCGGTGAAGGAGTGGGGCTTGGGCTCTGAAGGATGGGTTCGGGGGGGTCTGGGGAAGGGCTTGTGATGGGTTCCCAACTGGTACAGGCAGGACTTGGGTAAGAAGTGCTTGGGACCATGGGGTCTGCCTGAGTGCAGGGTGTGGAAGCTGAGTGGCTACAGGTTAGGGGGTTAGTGCCTAGGAGGGTGGGGTCTGTGTGTGTAGAGTTGCTGGGGAGCATGGCAAGGTCTAGAGAAGTGGAAGGGCTTACACTTATAAGGGTGGGGCTTGTGACAGGTTGGGTGGGGCTCCTGGTGGTCTGGACTGGGCTCTTAGCATTGGGGGTAGGACTTGTGGTGGTGTGAATTGACATCCTGGCTTTGTGAGTAGAGCTTGGAGTAGTGTGGGTGGGGCTTGTGGTAGTATGGGTGGGGCTTGCAGTAGTATAGGTGGATTTTGTGGTGGTACGGGTGGGGCTTTTGGTGGGTTGGGCTGGGCCAGTGGCACTTGGGGTAGTAGGGCCTGTAGTAGTGAAGGTAGAGAGCACGGGGCCTGTGACAGTACTTGTTAGATTTGAGACAGTGTGGCTCGGGCTTGTGGTGATCTGGACTGGGCTTGTAGTGTCAGGAGTAGGACCTGCAGTAGTGAGGGTAGAAAGCATTGGCTTGTGGGTGGGACTCGTGGTGGTCTGGCCTGGTCCCATGGCACTAGGGGTAGGGCCTGTAGCAGTGAGGATAGAGAGCTTGGGCTTGTGAGTAGAGCTTGTGATAGTGTGAGTGAGGCTTGGAGCATTGCTGGTAATGCTTATGGCACTACAGGTGGAGCTTGTAGTGGTGTTGGTGGGGCCTGGCAGTTCAGGAGAGCTAGAGTCTGTGGCCTTGTGAAGCGAGTCTAGATGTACAGATAGTGTGAGGTCTGGAGATGTATGGGCAGGGCCTGTTGTATTGAGAGTGAAGCTTGTGGCACAATGGCCAGGGTCCAGGGCAGGAAGGACAGGACCAGGGTGCTCCCCATGGGTGGGATTTGGGTGTGTAGGCAGGCTAGGTCCCTGGCTTTCTAGGCCCTCAGCCTCTACTGAAGCCTCAGCCAAGGCAGCATCCACACTGGCTTCACTGATATGGCTCAGAGTCCGGCTGTAGGGGGCATGCCCATTGGCCAGGTTTGGGGCCTTGGCCCCCTCCTCATCCATTGGCCCAGAGGTGGGAGTCTCAGGCCTATGGAAGGCAATTTGGATGGGCAGAGGCTCAGGCTGCTGCACCAGGGGCCTAGGGGCTGAAGAGTGGCGGGCAGTGCCTGAGAGCTGTGGGCTGGATGAATCATCTGAAGATTCGGATGACAGGGACCATGCCGTCCCATTCTCCAGCTCCTCCTGCCGTCTCAGCATATTCTGGGAGAGAGGAAAGGGAATTTCAAGACTGTCCCCAGGGAGTCTCTAAGGGATGGCTGGGCCTGAGTCTGGGTTGTGACTCACATAGAAGGCCTGCTCCCGAAGTGAGGGCGTGTCTGGTGGGCTCTGGCTATAGGTGGAAAAGCGCTTGGTGACTGTGGATGCCTTGTTGACAGTAGAAGCACCTGAGGGCTGGTCATCCTTGTCAAAGGGGCTGGGGAGGGAAGAGGCAGTTAGCAGGTGCCATAGGCCCCTAGACCTGTTCCCAGCCCCTGAGCCCCAACAACCTCCATGTGACTTCCAGGCTGAGCTTGATGGTGCCAAGGTCATTGATGTCCACAGCCACAACCTGGGGCAGGGCAGCGAACAGGTCCTTGGTCTCACAGGAGACACTGCCCACAACCACATGGTTGGCCAGGCCCTTCAGTTCTGTCACCTATAGCCAAGAATGCATCGTGGGGTCATAAGGGTATCGGGGTCATAAAGGTATAGGAGTCATGAGATTGTGGGAAATCAGAGGTCTGAATTTGCATAGAGGTTACTTGATGGTCATGGGGTCATGAGGAGGTTGCAGGGATTGGAGTTCTTGGGCTAATGGGGCCATGGAGGCTTGAAGCACTCTGGGAACATGGGGATCACAGAGGTTTGAGTTTGTAGAGTCATTGAGGTCATGAGGGTCACAGACTTGGAAGTTCAAGGGGTCAAATAGTCATAAGGTCATAAGGTCATGGGGTCATACATTCACAGGGCCATGGAACCAGGCAGGGTCATAGTGGTAAGGTCTCAGGGTCATAAGGGGTTCACAGGGTCATGGAGTCACAGGATCACGTGTCCCGTGGTCCCGGGCAGAGACATCACCTTGATGGACAGGAATTCCGTGAGCAGAGGAAGAAAGATGGTTTCCTCACTGTCCCACACCTGCTTTCCACTACCCTCAATGCGGCCCCGCAGTTTCCAGCGCTGACGCCCATATTTCATGCAGATCTAGGGAACAGGCAGGATGAGGCAGCTCTTGGTGTTGCGTCCCTGCCATCCCATCCCTTCCCTGTACAGCCTCATACCTCATACTGATCTCCCACACACAGCCGGGCGAAGCCAGCCAGCCCTAGGAGAAGGGGAGAAGGAGATGAGCCATGTTAAGGGAGGGGTCTCAGGCACACACTTCCCTCTCAACACCAGTCTGCCCCCACTACTCAGTACCTTTCATCCGGAGATGGAATTCGCCCAGCTGTGCCTCCAGCTCACTCTCCAGCAGACACATGCTCTGGGAGGGATGAGCAGAGATAGGAGAGGGTCAACTAGTCCCCTCTCAGCAGCTCTGCCATACCCTTTGCCTCTGCCTCATGGGCACCCATCCCTCACCTCCGTGTACTCTCGATGCCCCCGAGTGGCCTCAGCCAGGCTGTCCCTAGCCTCGCGGCTCCCTGGAGACCCAGTACTGTAGGCACGGACCATGTTGTAGGCACCATCCCGAAGTCGCCGCTGGACACAGTAGGCCTCATACAGCTCGTCAATCTGGGCAAGTGAGTAGGGTGACAGTCGGGAGCGGGGGGAGGTTGTGACTCACTATTGGGGTCGCTCACCCAGGGCCTAGCATCACTGCATCTCCCTAAGATATCCAATTCCCCACCCCACACCACATGCACACATGCATGCTGCATATGTACCTTGCTAGCATGGAACTCCAGCCGTCGCAGGAAACGTTCAATGGACTTGACTTGCTGGGGGAGAGGTGGATCAGGAGAGGCCTGAGGGTTAGGGCCCTTTACCCTCCCTATGAGCCAACCTCTTCCAACACCATTCTGTATACACTCACCTTGTCCAAGTCATACAGGAAGCCCTGCAGGGGGAGATGAGAGGGAGGGCTTAGGAGGTATGGAAAGTATTCCAGCAGAGCATTTGCCCACCCAAACCCATCTAGCTCCTCTCCTTTATGGCCTCCTTCCCCTCATACCACAGTCCACAGCCACTCCAGCCAAAGCAGGGACTGACCCACTTTTCCAAATGCCTGATCTTTGGTGGGTGCTGTGACATGGATCTGGTCCCCAAGACCCCTCCAGTACCCTTCCCCTACCTCTTCCCCAAGGTCCCTTCCCTGGCCCACTTCCTCTCCTGCAACCCTTAAGAAGAGAGTTCTGTGCCTCCTCATGCATGGTTCCCTTTACCAGGGAACTCTTATTTGTCCTTAAGACCCAGCTGAAGTGTTTTCTCCTCTCGGAAACCCTGAGCTGTTCCCCAGGAAGAACCACAGCTCTCCCTCAATACCACTACAACATAATCTCTCCTTGTTCACGTCTGGGGGTGGTCCTACCTACCCTACTGGAAGCTCCCATGGGCAGGCATTGGGTTCCAGATAGAGAGTGTGTACAGCCTGCGGAATATGGGGATAGAAAACTCCCCTGCCTTTCCTGATACCTTCTTTCTAGTTACTCCTATTTTCTAGTCACACCTGGACTAAGTCACTCAAGAAAACAGCCCCGATGTCATCCAGGGGTGGCCCTGCGGAGTCCTCCATACCACAAGAGCAAAGAGCATTAGTCCAGGGCATCCTTGCCAACCCTTCACTCACCAGGCGGGAATTCCTCTTGGATTCCCTTATCTGCCCCTGGAGTTTCTCCTGCTCCTGCTGGTGCACTTCCAAATAGGCCCTGGGGAAAGAGGTGACAACAAGAATTAGCTTACCTCTACAACCTCCATCTGCCCATGGTTCAGGCAGTGGGGAAGAGTGTGTGAAGCGGGGAAAGTTCCCACTAGCAGAAAGGGGATGGGGCCGCCGGGAGGGATCCTGGGACGAGGCATTGGGAGGGAATTGCTTACGTCAGGCCCCGCTTCAGCGCAGCGTACACCAGGTCCAGCCGCTCAGGCTGCGGGACCTTGGGGGCCGGGTGCGCCACGGAAAACATCCTGGACACTCGAGAGAGTGCTGGGGGCTTCCGTGGGGGTCCCGTGGGACTGAAGGCCGGGAAACTCCTGAAGAAGAGGCTACACTCAGAAAGGGGCAAGAAAGAGTCCCCCAAACCCTCACTGCACCCCAGCTCCAACCTGGTCAGACTCTCCTGACCCCATCAGGCCCCCTCTTCTGCGTACCTGGGCCCCCGCTCGTGGCTGCCGAGGACGCCTGCGAAGGACTGGCTCCTATTGACCCGGGCGCTGAGCAGGCGGCGCTGTGGCCGCACCGAGAGGGACATCATGGAATGAGTCCGCGCGGGGCTCCCTGGGGGTGGCGAGGGTGGGTGTCCAGCGCCAGTCCGGCCTTTGAAGACCCCTCCCCGCGGCCCGGCTTCAGTATCTTAGTCTTGCCGGACACGACCTGATTCTGAGTCCGACAACCCCGCCGGCCGGCCCCGGCGCTAATGACAGGGCGGCCGCGGGCGACTCGGCCTCGGACTCTGCGTGGCCTCAGCTCGGCCCCCACTTCCTGCAGAGGTGCAGGCCCCGCCTGCGGCACGGGGCAGGAAGGGGGGATCGCGCGGGGACCCTCCCCCGGCTGGGAAGGGGCAGGAAAGGGGCGGGGCGCGCGAAGAATGTGCGGAAGCGCCTGTTTACCGGGGGCGGGGCGGGCTGCCCAGCCCTACCCCTAACCTCCCCCCAAAGTGGACCTGGAGCTCGGCGCCGGCTCCCTGCGAGGCCGCTGGAGGTCACCTGGAGGGGCGGGGTGCGGGCTTTGAGCCCAGCGGAGCTGCCCGACAGGCCCGGTCAGCGCGGGTTTGGCTCCGGCGACCTACCCGCCCTGGGTAAGCTGCTCCCCTTCACCCTCCACTGGCTCCCAAGAGCCCGGACGCCAGAGCCCTCCTGGCGCCCAGAGCTGGGGGATTCCCAGAGTGGGGGGCAGTGCCGAGAAGTGCCCCGCCCCCTCCACTTTCCTGCGACTCGGACCTGGAAACTGAGTCACAGACAGACGCCTTCGCCCGGGCCCTTGGCGGGAAGGGATTCTCTGCAGACTCCCACCCTGCTCCGGCGAAACACGCTCCCTTGGCCCCCAGAATCCGGCCCGCACCCCCTGGAGCCAGCCACGGAGCCTTCGCAGCTCCAGACCGGGTCCTACCTTTCTTCTTGGAGTTCATGGTAGGTCCGGGACAGCCCCCCACCCCGCGCTTGCCCCCCGTGTCCCCGCCTGCCCAGGGCCACTCGGTGCCGGGCTGGCTGGGCTCTGCGCTCGCTCCTGGCGACTCTGGTTCGGGCTTCAGCTCCTCCTGGCGCCGCCCCCCGCCCAGTTCCTGCCGCCTGACTCAGACCGCCGGGATGGGGCGGGACTGGCTGGATCAGGGGGGCAACGGGGCCTCGGCTTGCTCGGCCTCTGGGACGGGCGACTGGGGATTCCCCTCCGGAATGGAACTGACGGGTATCTTCTTGGCTGGGGTCGGGAGTGCGGCTAAAGGGAGTTGAGCACAGCGGCGAATATGGAAGGATAGATAAATAGAATGAGGATACTGAATGAGTGGGTGCTGGATTGGATGCAGTTAGCATAGGGGGCTCACAGAGTGGCTGTTGAGGGGTGCTGAGAGAGGGCTGAACACAGAGGGCTGAGAGTTGGGGTTCTGAGTGTGAAGGCTAGAGAGTAGGGGCTGAGAGAGTGGAAGGAAGGGCTTCGGTGCTGAGTGGAGGGACTATGCCAATGGAGGACATAGAGTCAGGTGCTAAGCATGAGGGATGTGGGAGGCTGAGAAGAGAAAGGGCCTGTAAGTGTGAGTTCGGATCAACCCCATATTATGTGTTGCTGCCCAGAGAAGGAACTGGATGTAGAGTCCAACAAACTCCATGCACCATACTCACTCCCACACCTACTGAGGGGGTGCTCAGTCTCCGTACTCCACCTTCCCCCCAAGCCCCAGGAAAGAGGACCTACTGCCCAGCCAGGGCCTCCTCTCCAGCAGAAGCTGTGTCCTAGGGCGGAGGCCCATCCTTTTGGTCCCCTGCTCACGTCGGCTGAATCTCCTTGGTGTCAGTCAGCCCCTTCCTGCACACGTATCTCTTCCTTGAAAATCCCTTGTCCACCTCCAGCCAGGATAGAGGCCACCATGCCCTCAGAGGGGCTGAGTGCTCCCACCCCATAATCATTCCTGTTCCTTGATGTTCAGTTTCAGTGAACGGGGCTTACTTTCTCCCCAGGAGGCTGGGGTGGGCCCAGAGTTCTGCATTTCCAACAAACCCCTATAGTTTAGATGCCAGATGTCCAAGGACCCCAGTTTGAGAAATGCTATCCTCTCCTTGAAAATTGGGTGCTATGCACTCCACACAGGCAACTATGCATTAGGTGAATTGCCTGCCTTGTACTGGCCTATCTGCATCCTTCAGCTATTCCCCCATGGGAACACCCCAGCCTTATCACCTGCTCTGGCATGCCCCCTTCCTAAATCACAACCACATTGATCACAATCTTCAGGCTTTCTCTATCACTCCCATCTCACCTGCCTTCTACCTGAGACCTCTTGGGCATTCAGATTATTTATTCAACTATTCACTGAGTGACAACCCTGTGCCAAGCATGTGCCAGTCACTGGAGATACAGCCCAGAATTGCACAGACACCACCCTGCACAGAACTCACAATCTGCCTCTGCTTCCTTTTTCTCTGCCAGCTCCCTCCTACCTTCTCTTCCCTACCTTCCCTGCACATCACTCTCCCCAGCCTGGATCTAGCCACGACCCTTGTCACTCGCCTGCTGCTAATATTCCCAGCACTCTGCCTTTCTCTCCTCCCTGGCAGAAACCAGCCCTGGGCAACTCAACTCTCTGCCTTTTCTGCACCTGCACACAGGCTGGCAGGAGCTGCCAGAGGTCTTGGCCCAGTAGCTGAGGTGGAGCAACACAGCAATTCTCAATCTCAGCCAGTGTCTTTTTTCCCACTGGGGAAATCCTCATGTGAGGCCCTAGTCATCTCTCTCCCTTCTCACAGAAGATGAGTATTTTAGACTTTCTCCACAAGCCTCAAACAAGCTTGAGTCACTCCCTCATAAAAAAATGGAAACTGCCCAGATGCCCGTCAGTTGATAATGGAATGCTTTACAACATAAAACTACTACACGCAGCAATATGGATGAATCTTAAAGACATGATGTTGAGTGAAAGAAGCAGGACTGCAAAAGAGGACATATGTATGAGTCCGTTGATACAAAGTTCAAAAACAGGCAAAACACATCTATGGCGATAGAAGTCAGAATAGTAGTTACCCTGGGGAATAGCGACTGGAAGCAGGCACAAGGGGTCTTCCAGGGTGCTGGTAATGTTCTAATTCCTAATCTGGGTTCTATTTCCTGATCCTATATGAGTGTGTTCCCTTGTATAATTGTATCAAGCTATACCACTGAGGACATGTACCCTTTCTGTATGTATATTATATTTCAATATAAAGTTGACTTTAAATAAATAACTACAAAAAGAAATGCCCCCTCTGTGGACCCTGTGTCTCCTTCTAGCGACCCCACCTCTCACCCCATTTGGCTCTTCCAGAACCAACTTTCTGGAAGAGATGCCTACCTCCTTTTCCTCTCCACACCCACCCACTTCTCTTTCCATTCTGGACCGCCTTCCACACCCACCACTCCCCTGACTGGGCTGGACGAGGTCACCAGTGCCTCCCTGTTGCAGAATCCAGTGTCCAATGTTTAGTTCTTATCCTGCTTGATCTCAGTAAAGCTTTTCACTTTGTGGCTCTCTTCCTCTTCCTTGAGCCCTTCCTTCCCTTGAATTTCAAGAGGCCACACGCCCCTAGTTTTCCAATCTGTCTGGCTACACATCTTATTTTCCATCAGAGAATCTGTCTTTCTCCCTATTCCCGAGTGGGCCTCATTCTTCCCACCCTTGGGCTATGTACATCTCCCACAGTTCAGTGTCATTTAAAGTTGTCCCCAACTTCCTTATCTCTTCTGTGCCCAAATTGCTTTTCTGAGTATCAGGCCTGTATGTCCAACTGCCTGCCTGTTGCCTCCCCAGAAGCTGAATGACAATACAGAGTGGTCTATTAGGGATGTACTGAGTTTGAAGTCCTCAAACTGTATTCACCAATTTCCTCCTCAAACTTGACCCTCCCCAGTCTAAACCTCTCCATGACAGCCCCACCATCTACTTACCCAGTTCTTCGAGATAAACTAGGAGTCATCTTGGATGCCTCAGTCTCTGTTACCCTCCACATCCACTCACCCACCGACTCCTGCCACCTCTGGATCCTGCCCCCCTCTCCTCTAGCCCCATGGCTAGAATTCAGGTCCAAACTGTCACCAATTATCACCTAAAACCCTACTGCAGCTTCCTAATGGACTCTGTCTCTACACTAACCCACATTAATCCATTCTTTATTCAATAGCAACATTGCTCTTAAAATTCCAGTCACCTGACCATGCCAAAAACTCTGCTTTATCGAGTGCTTTCTATAGGCCACACTCTGTGCTTAATTAACAAACATTTAATTCTGGCAACAGCCTTATCGGGTAAGTCCTATTAGCCCCATTTCACAGATGAGAAACCTGATGCTAACTGGCTGTGTGACCTTGGGCAAAACATTCACCTTTTTGGGCTTTAACAGATACCTATCTGTTAAATGAGAATAATACTAAAAATAACAACAACTATCTCACAGAGTTGTTGGGGGCATGAAATGAGATATTCCCCTCTAAAGAAAGTGTTTGGGGAAGGGAAAATTGTGGAGTAGGAAAGCTGGGGTGGACACACTATCTCACTGTAAGTACATGACTAATATTAACTGCTGTTATTAACAATTATTAATCTACCCAAATTTACACAGCTGGCAAATGACAGGGCCAGGATTCAAAGCCAGGTGGTCTGACCCTAGGACACTAAATCTTTAACGTCCCTTTATGCTGACTCTTGCAAAACACCCATGGGTAAATACCCTGCCCAAAAGATAAAGTCTAGACTCTCTAATGTGACCCACAAGACTCTGTCTCTTCCCTCATATACCTTCAACCATCCTTCTTTCATAGTCCCCTGCTCCCCCCATGGTCTTTCTGTTCCAGCTACTTGAGACCCTCGCTCAATACCTGCAAGGTTCTTCAGCATCTGAGCAGCAGCCTCCATTTCTCCTATAACCTCTTCATACTACTCTCACCCTGACCAGCTCACTCTCCTTTTTCAAGTCTTACCCTGTGACTTCTTCCTCCAGGAAGCCTGCCTGGGGTTGGTTCCCCCTTTTAGGCATCTCATAGCTTCCTCCCTCTGATCCTTGAGACCACATAACTAGGTTGTTAGTTCTCCTTTAGTGTCTGCCTTCCAACCAGACTGTAAACTCTGGGGGTTGGTGTTGTCTGTTTGGCTCACTGCTGTACCCTCTGGGCCTGCACCAGGGTGATGAAAAAGGGGGTAGCTGAGTATGAGTCGGGGGCAGAGCTGCATGAACTGGCTGCCTAGACAGAGAAACAGCAGATCTTGAGCTGTTGGAGGGGTAGATTTCAAGTCTGGTTGATCTATCTCCCCTACCCCACCTATAAGTTTCCCGGTCCCTTCCTTACTTTCTGATTATATCAGTGAGTGGGGTTCCGCTCCCTTGGTATGGGGCATGATGGGATTCTGGAACTGAGTGGGTGGGCTGGATTCAGATTAGGCTGACTGTCCCATCAATTTTCTTTCTCTGACTAGGGCTTTGCTACCACCAACCCCCTAGTCCCACAGGATGTATAACTGTTGGTCCACTTTTCCCAAATGACCATAATACCCATCTGAGTGACCATTTCAGGAGGTAGATAGGTAGGATCTACCCTGCTGTGGAGGAGGGAAATAATTGAACCCCTTGAACTGTGGAAGAGGATCCACCTGAACCAGGGACTGGCTGATTAGAGCCAGAGGACTCTCCAGACTTACTGAAGACTGTTCTGAATGTGCGAAAGGTCACAAAGGTGATAGGGCCTGTAGAACTCCCAGGTTGGGGCAGCAGCAGTAGAACTCTGGCCACCTGCATGGCTGCAGATCCTGCAGCCCCCAAAACCCTCTACATGCCTCACATATGTGAGGCAGGAGGTCCTGCCACTTACACTGCCCAGCTCAGTGGTCTCCTTGCTGGGCGTCCCTGGCCCAGCCCCATCCTGTGGGGCAGCCCCACTTCAGTTAACAGATGCTAAAAATAACTGGGGTAAGGAGGGGTTGCAAGAGAAAATGGGGTCCCTCCTGAGCCTTTCCCTGTCTCCATGGCAACTGCCCCAAACCTGGCTGCTGACTTCATGCTGCAGCTGCTGGAGCAGGGAGGGAGGCGGGCCCTGTCTGGGACCCCCCACCCCGGAACCAGGCGGAGGCAGCAGGGTGGCCTCACTTCCTGCCGGCCCCCTCCCTAGTCAGCTGGTCACATTCCCAGACCAGCCCTGTGCTGGAGGCCTAGTGGCCTCCCCTAGGCCAGGCCTGGTAGGAGTGTGAGTCCCAGCCGCAGCAAGGGGTTGCCCTGACTCAGCCGCACCCTTCCCGTCTGCTTTTCCACCCAGGGAGGACCCAGCCTGGAGCCCTGCGTGTTCCCTCCACCCCTACTCAAGGCCAGGACTTCTCTCTGGCTGTTGGACCAGAGGACCCAGGACTCTTGAGCAAGGGTTGAAGTGTGAGCTAAGCTAGGGCTCACAGTCTTGCTGGAGTATTTTGTACCTCACTTGGATTCTCATCTCCCCCACCCACTCCCCTCCATGCCACAGAGGTGGATAGTGCAGTAGCAAGAGTTCAGAGCTGGGTCTAATTCCCACCTCTCCCCAAACCAGCTGTGTGACCTTGAGACTATTAACCTCCCCGTGCCTGTTTCTGCATCTGCCAGATTGATATAACATTCCTAAGAAAGCTATGCCCCTGCTGATCACTGCAGGCCTAGGGGAGGCCCAGGGCACGGTTATTATTATATTAGACTGCACACAGTAGGTGCTCAGCCAGCCAGCCTGGACATGCATTAGGAGCAACCAAGTAGAACTGGCTGAAAAGGGTCAGTCCCAGAGGTGGACTCAGGCCTCACTGGGGAGAGGAGGACAGAGAGTGCTGAGGTGGGATTTAGCCCTGCCCAGTAGCCCCTTCCTCAAATCAGTTCTGTAGGGTGCCCAAGCTTAGCTGTTTGCAAAGACCCTACACCAGACTCCCACTTCCAGGACAAGGTGTGTTCCCCACCACGCTGGGGCGATCGTCTCCGACTTCAGCTAAGCCAGGTTTGGGCGAAAAGCCGGACCCCAGGCCAGGCTCCGGCTGAGCCGGGCCCCAAAGCCCCAAAGCGGCTTAGGCCGGTCGGTGGGGCCGGGAGGATTAGCTCATCCCGGAGGACAGCTTGAACCACTCGTCACCCCCTTCCCATTCCCAGTTCAGCTTTCCCTGCGAGGAAGGCAGAGGGGGCTCCGGGAGAGCAATCGTGCCAGGGCCCAGGCTAGTGCCAAGGGCCCGCCCTCAGGCCTGGCCCACTCCAGAGCCCCGGGGCACCGGCCGCCTGGGCCTTGCTGTGGGAGGGAAGGAGGCAGTGCCGGGCGCGGCAGGGCTGGAGGCGGCGGCTTTTGTGGGGCCAAGATGCGTCCTCCGCGCCCAGGGGAAGGTGGGGAACGACATCGTGCGGCCCAGGTCCCGGGGATGGGGTTATGTGGGACAGGGCCGCAGCTGGGGCAGCAAATTTGGGATCTACGGGGCGGTGCTGGCGAAGGAGGCACCAGAATCGCCGCTCCAGCCCCTCGCCCGGCCTGCGGACCCCGGACACTTACATGGCTGCGCTGGGCTACGCGGACCTCGCGCTCTCTGTGCGCTCGTCGGTGCCCGGCCTGGTCAGTCGCGCCGCAGCTGCCGCTGTCGCCACCGCCGGCGGCCGCCCCTCCCTGCACCCCGCCGACCCGCTCCTCCCTCCGCCGCTGGGCCCCACCCCCCGCACTCCCGCAGCTCTGGCACCCGTGGAAGGGCCCACGGCTTGCTCCGCCCTCTCGAGTAACGGGGCAGCGGGTGACCCGCGGATTCCACCAGCTTGTGGGTAGGCGGGACCCTGGAGGACGCGAGGGCGGCGGGAGGGCCAGAAACAGGGCGGCTTTTAGGGAACCTCTCGCCAAGGCAGTCCTATTCCTTCCCATGCAGACCCCAAAACCGGGTCCGCGGGAGAGCCCGGCTTGCCCGTACCCTCCTCAGATTCCATAGCCCCTAGAGACCTGTGACTGCCTAAAATCGGTCCTGGAGTGTCCACTGCTGGGTTGGGTGGGCTGGAGGAAGGGATCAGCGCCAGCTTCCGGGAGGGGAACAGGGAGGCCAGAATCCTAGCCTTTGAACCCCTTCTGGGTCCAGACACTGCCTCTCAGCCCAGCCTCAGTTTCTCTGCTGCGGGGGCAGGCTGCCCTTCCTGCCACCGTCTGCGCTTTTAGCCGGGCTATGCAGTTACCACTAATTGGGTACGACTTCTGGAGGGTCAGGTCTTACTCTCTGAGCCTGGGTGAGTTACCTGGGCTTGGGGCACATGTTGGCCAAGGGGGCCAGAGCCCAGTCCTTTCCAGTGAGGGTCTGGAGCACTGAGTCTCCCCTAGGGTGGGTTGAGGTGGAGCTGAGAGCTGACCCCACGATGGCGTCAAACGGCCAGCTCCACTCCCCCACCCCTCCCATCTATAAGACACCACTGGCCCTCCCCAACCCTGAATGCTCTGCCCTCCCACCCCGACCCTTCAGGCTTCACTTCTGTAGTCCTCTGCCTTTAGAGGTAACACATACCACAGACATACATGGTTTGAAGGACTTTAAGAGGTTCCTGAATATACTCCTGAGGGTTGGTCTTGACAACCAATCTGTCAGGGCGGCAGGAGGCACAGAGGCCCTCAGGGCACTGATATCTTCTCCCTCACCAGTTCTTAGCAGACATACACCTCACTCCCTCCCAGCTCTCCCACCTCTTCAGCCCCCTTTCTTAGCCTCCCTTGGCAGCACTCTGTAGTCCTTGAGCCTGGGGATTGCTTCCAGGGACTGGGTTCTTCTCTTTCTTTTCCCCATTGTAATATATCATCCCGTTTCAGGGCTTCCATCCATCCACTGCGGACCATCCCAAGCCTTCCTGTGTGCCCAGAGCCCCCGGATGACCCACTAGATCTTATGACCTTCTCCAGAGGGACTCATCTTCCTTGGTCCTCACCTCTGCAAAGCATCGCAGTCCCCCTAGGCTCCTACCTCAGCCAGAGCCTGGGCCTCACCAGAGCTCTCGAAACTGGCACCCGTTGGTCCCTGCCCACCTCTAAAGTCACCTTCTCAGCAAGGCATCCTCTGACCACCTCTGAAGACAGCCTCTCCTTGTTATTGTCATCACGTTCTGTGGACTCAAGCCTTCATGTCACTCATCACCACCAGGCAGCATGTATGCCCGTGTATGCTCATGTGTCTAAACCTACCACACTGTGAGTCTCTAAGCTCTGTGGGGGCAAGGGCCATGGAAGTCCTTGTCATCACTGTCCCTGGCTCATAGTGGGAGTTCATGAAATATTTGTTGAATGAGTGAGTTTGAATGAGCAAATACATGAACTCTTGACATCCCCTCTTCACCCCCACCTTCCTTCAGCCTCCTAGTCCTGTTGATTCCACCTCCTTAATATGTTTCAAATTCATTCCCTCCCCACCCCTCACCTCCCACTACTAGTACTCTGTTGTTTATTAATTCATTTGCCAAACGCCCACCGAGCACTCGGGGCTGGTCCTTGGGCTGGCAGTAGCATAGAGCTGTCCCTGTGCCATTGCTCAGGGCTCTGATGAGGCAGGCTGATTGTGGTGGTGTACCAAGGCACTGTCCGAGGAATTATTTCTCAGTCTGGGATTCTGGAATTCCACTTCCAGAAAATTCCCATTTTTAATGGATGATTTCCTTGCCCGTCATAGTCGATTAGTCACTCTGCCCTGTGTCTGGCCATGCATCTGCATTATCACATCTGGTACCGGGCCTAGGCCACCATCTTTTCTGGCCTCTCTGCCTCCTCCTTTGTCCCCTACAGTTGTTCTCCACCTGACAGTTGAAGCGAGCTTTTAAATCATAAATCAGTTCATATTGACTCCCTAATGTCCTCAGGATAAGTCCAGACTCTGGAGTGGGGCCTGCAAGACCCAGGAGATGTGGCTTATGACCTCTGCTCCTCATTTCCCACCCATCCTGCCAGCCTTTGCTGCTCTGGTTCCACTACACCAACCTACCTGTGGCTCCCTGGACATGGTCCCTACTCTCTGGCCTCTGCCTCTTCTCCCAGCCTCCCTTCTGCCTGGGATCAGGAATCCTCCCCCTTATCCACTTGGAAGACAGCTCAAACCTCACCCTCTCCAAGAAACCTGTGTCCTCTGGCTTCCCATTCACCCCTTCTGAGCATCCACGATGCCTATTGGAATCCCTGTCTGTGACCAGGACTGGCCCCCCCATCCTATGACCACCAGGGCCAGGCATAGAGGGGGCTGCAGTGAGTAGATGGGACACCTGAGGCTTCCCCTGGCCCTCTCCTATTGCCCAGGAGCCTTGAGGGAAGGACAGCATCCAAGGGCTGCAGGGTGCTGGAGGCCTTCCAGGCCTCTCCCCAACAACCAGTGAGCCAGGAGAGGAAGGACACAGCTGAAACCCATTTCACAGAAGAGCCACCTGAGGTTCAAGAAAGGCAGGGCCTTTCCATGGTCTTGTCGTAGGAAGGGATGGAGTCTGAACTTCAACTCAGCTCACTGAGCCCTGGTCAGCTGGGCTTTGTCTGAATCAGGCATCATTCTGCGAGCACATGCTCTGCCTGGCGCTGGACTGGCAGCTGGGGCAGAGTTCCAATCATCGCTATTTCTAACCCCGAGCACTTCATGTTCCTGATGGGATGGGCTCTGGCCTGAGAAAATTTCCTCTATTAGATAACAGAGGGTGGTGAGAACCATAGTGAACCCTGGCATATGGCACAGCTAGTTCTATTTTGGGAAGTAATGCAGTTCAAGTCCAAAACCCCAGAAAAATGGGGGCTTCCCTCACCCCACTTCACAGGCCCTGTAGCTATAACTCTCTGATATACAACACCCCCCCCCCCACATCCCCACCCCCATCCTCCCTCCCCCGCCCAGCTTTCTGTGAAGGGACAGAATAAAGCCTGCTCCTTACTGTGCCTGTGGCCACATACCTCAGACAGATTGTGCAGCATTCATTCACCAGATCTTTAGCAAGCGTTTGTGGAACCTGCTGTGTACTTGGCCTGGGGGCACCGGAAGTGTGAGAACAGAGGCGAGGCCGCCTAATCCCTACCCATGGGGGCTCACTGCCAATTAGGGCAGGTATATCTCTGAGTCTTTCCACCTCCTGTATCACTAAGGCGAGTGTGTGATTGTGAAAGTGTCTGTGTGCACACTTATGTGTGTGTGAGAGTGTGAGTGTGTGCTGGTTAGGAAGGGCTTTGCAGGCAAGTGGGCCTTAGCATGGCAATTGTTGGGCAGAGGGTAGGTTCTTAGAGAGTGTCCGAGGCAGAGAGCACAGCAAAGTTCAAGGCATGGGAGGGAGGAGCAGCTTCCTTTGCTGGCGGGGAGCAAGCCTAATGTGGCCAGAGAATTGTGTGAGTTATGTATTGGGGATGGGGATCAGTCACGAGGGACTTTGGTAACTGGCTGAGGAGCATAGATTTTACCCTTGGTGATGGGAAGCCTGGGCTTTAAGTGGGGGAAGTTTGTGGTCACATCTGTGTTTTGCAAAGGTCACTCAGGCAATGCACAAAGGGAGCAGGTAGAGGCAGCAAGGAGGCTGCTATCAGTTTCCAGCCAAGGTCATGGTGGACTGGGCCAAGGTTGAGGCAGTGGGGATAGAGAGAAGGAGACATTCAAGAGGTGTTCAGGAGGCAGACTAGAAGGCTGGGTGACTGATGGGATGTGGAGTCTGGAGAGAGAAGCAGCCCAGATGATGCCAGGGTTTAGGGCCTGAGTAATGGGTGGATACGGGTGTTTTTCAATGACGTGGGGAGGCCTGGAGGATCAGCTAAGGGCGAGATGATGTGGTCAGTTTGGCAGGTGGTATCTGAGAGGTCTGGGGGCCATCTATCCAGGAGGAGGTGTTCAGAAGGCAGCTGGACGTGTGGGTAGAGGAAAGATGCTGTAGACAGCTTTTGGAAGAGACAATGGTCAACAGGCTTACCAACAGGTCAACTGAAAGAGGGCTAAAGGTGCCATGCCCTGCTAGAGCACTTTAGTGAGCGGTGGGGGCAGATGCAGGCTCGAGAGGTGGTAAGTATAGGATTTGTGGATATGTCTGTACCTGTCACCAACCTCTACCACCCCAGCCTGGACCCTGCTCCCCATTGTGTGTGTCAAAGGGCAAAGTCCAGGGTTGCTGCCCCACGTTCAAGTCTTGGCTTTATCACTCTCACCTGTGGTTCCTGGAGCCACTTCTCTTTTCTGATGTTTTAAGTGCACCCATCCGCTCACTCTTTGAAATTGCAATTTTAAGAGGCACTCTGTCCCATTAATAATCAACACAATGCAAATGTAAACATCAACGGGAGACACACTTTTTTTTGCCTCTGAGATTGGCGGTGATAGACATGATGTGTGAGTGGACACTCTGATGAGAGTGAGAGTTGAGTTGAGCATTTGAGAGTAGTTTTTTCAGGATGTCAAGCACAAACTTCCCTTTCACTCTGCCGTTCCACTTTAAGAAATTTTTCCCGAAGAAACAGTTGTACAGACAAGAAAAGATCTGTGCCTGAGGATGTTGATTACTGGCTTGTTTAGTCAGGGATAAAGGGATGACACAGTCCTTGTGACAATCAGTGGGACAGCGAGGGCCGAAGGAGGTTTGTGCCCCAAGATGTTCTGTGGCCACTGAAAATGGATGTCAGGCATGGGCTGAGCACCTATCATGCTCTGGCATCATTCTGCATGCTAGGGACACAGAAGCAGATCAGATGGGCAATATCTCTGTTCTTCAGGAGTTTACACTCCAGTCAAAGGAGACAGATAATAATAAATTTAACATGTTAGTAAGATGACTTCAGAGAGAGAGGAAGAGCTATGGAGAGACCAAACAGGGTGATGTGATGTAAAGTAATGGAGCTGAAGGGCTACTTAATTCAGTGTGGTCAGGGAAGGCCTCTTTGAGACAGTGACATTGGAGCCAAGACCTGAATGACAAGAAGGAAACAGACATTTAATGATTTGCAGAAAGAGGGAAGAGCAGGGGCAACAGCTCGGAGGTGAGCTTGCTGTATCTGAGTCATGCAGGCTGGAGCAGAGAGAAAGGCGGTCTGAGAGGCAGCCGTCAGCTCCGGTAAGGTAGGGAGTGAGGGTTTTAGATCTCTGAGTAGGAAAAGGTGCTCATCACAGTAGACATGGAGGAGTGGGGAAAGCACCAGAACAGTCGCCTGTTCTGTAGCAGGAGTCTCCTCAGGTCACATCTGTATCCATTGGCCTTGACAGCTGTCAGGAGACATCCCTGTGCCAGAAGTTGCTACCATCTCTGGGTATTGTAATTTGACCTGGTTTTATTTTCTTTGTATTTACTTACACAAATAATAGTTTGCAATGAACATGTCATTGTTTTCAAAGACAGCATGGCCATTACTTATTCAGGCATTTCCAGGCAAGCTCCTATACCCGGTAGGTGTAAGTTTGTAGTCCAGGGTCCACAGGTGACTTCCCTGGGGACTCTGCTACAGGCAGGGTTGTGTCTGTCATTGGCCCCACTGATCCAGCTTTGGCCTCCTGGAGGACTTGTGAGCAGGGCGGTGCTGGAGTAGGATGATTGTGTCCCGAGGGCTGAGGGCCGGGCAGGGCCAGGCGTCCTTCCTTCCTTCCTGTCTCCCTTCTCCTATGGGATAAGTGGGAGGGACGTCCGTGCCTCTCCCAAATCATGGGATTAGCTGCTCCCCTGGGACCCTTTGCAGGGCCTGACCAAAGTTGCAGTGTGCACTGTGACGTTTATTTCTGAGTTCCTATTGCTAGAAAAACTGTTCTGAAAGAGATTTGGAG